GTTCTGCAGTGTCCCCAGATGCTTTGGAGAATACCAAACACAATGGAAAGCAGAAAAACCTAAAAGGTACATTTGCAGTTTTTCTGCCTATGGTGTGAAGCAGGACAGAGCATTGATAAGATAGAGAAATCCAGGGAAGCTGCTACAAACACAAAGAGCTGCAATGGGAAAGGCACATGGGAAGGAGTAAAGAGTGCTTGAAAGAGTCAAGTCCTCAAGGAGTCAACTGTTGTCATCCTTTGTCCCTGCACACTCTGTCCCTGTATCTGCATGTTTAAAAGATGGTACTGTGAAGAAAGTATAATCCCTACAGTAACATTTAGATCTTGACAGATGTCCTTGTGCTGTTTTGTTGAGACACAGAGACATTGGCAGGTACTCTGAGGATCGAGGCGGATACAATATTAGTATTCCAGCCTCAAGTCAACCCTGGGAAAACTTAGCCAGGGAAAGATTTCAGATCTTTCAGCTTTGCTTCTCTTACCTCCTTAACAAGCAGCTAGTAAACTTTACTAAAGCAAAGAGAAAGAACCCCAGGGAAGAGGATAAAGTTCCTTGCAGAGAAATGCTGCTCACACAACCCCGCCTTGCTGCAGTCCCATCTGCTATTGTGCCAAGGGAGTTGTACTCCAGCGTCCTTTGGGAAAATACTGGTAGAGCCTTCCCTGGGAGAAATAAAAAGTCCTGCTTAAGATTAGCCCACTGCTTGCTCATTCTCTGTATTATCAGCTTTGAGGCTATGGGAGTGAAGTAATCTGACTTCAAACACAGTGAACAAGTCCTTTCCACCCCATAAAAAGCCTTGCAATTTCTGCTCCCCTGCAAGCCCGGGATCAGGCAAGGCTACAAACTTGTGACCCCTAATGTGACCTTAAGGACAGAAAAGCTTAATCCTTTCATGTAATCCTCTGTCTGCCATAACAAATTGGGTCAGGCAAGTGCAAAATTCTCCATCTCTAGCATTTTTGGTATGCGTTATTTTAACTGTCACTTTCTTCTCCCTCTGCACAGCCAGGACTGTGTCTTCATTATCTGTCATTTCCTTGCACCTCCAGTGATCATATAGGCTGGCTCTTCCAGGCTCCTGCCAGTACATTATCCATTGGTTTTTGCTTGGGTGAAAGCTTAGTTTCTCGTCCTCTGAGACCTTGTATCCCCGATGCAATACTCTAGACTCCCTCCTTAGCCTACTTAAAAATCAGAAGACACTGCGCTGTAATCTGGAAACATGGCTGCTTTTCCTCAACATGCACATGCTCTGCCTGCCCCAGGAGAGGTGCCATCATCAAAACTGGTTTTAAATCACATTTACAAATATCTCCAGAACCTTGTTAAAATGTAGAAGATCCCCATCCAGCCTGTCTTGGCTAAGACTAAACCTAAACTCTGCAGATACCACATTGGCAGGGATAGTCCTGCTCTGAATCTTGCTCTTATGGAAGTGTTGAATTGCAGTGTAGACATAACTTAGGTATCAGGCTTCATTCTCAACTGTGTTGAAACAGTCAGGGAGGAGACAGAGGCTCAGCCCTTCCCACAGTCCTTTGGGCCAGATGGGCTTTGGCATAAATTAGAAAAGTTTAGTGGCTACTCTCAGTTTCACTGGCTTTTAATGGTCTCCAGAGGGTCATTATGTTTGGGAGACTTTGGACACAATACGCTGCATCATCAGTCTGGAGGACAGTTCCTCAGGGCAGGCTGAACTCCTGTGGACTTGATTGGAGAATCTTGCTTCAGACAAGAAACAAGCTGCAGAGCACACATTGGTCCCAAGCCTTGAGTCATATTAAATATCACACCCTGGCCCCTAAATAACACCTCAGAAAGAGAGGAGGCAGCAAAGCAGAGAGGTCCTGTTTGCTTTCATACCACCCTGGCTGGCCAGGGTGGAATGTACACAGCTTCTGCACACCAAGAGCTACAATTTGAGATCTGGTACCAAATACAACCCCAAGAGAGCCTACATGGCACCAGAGAGTCACTGTGAGGCAACAGCTTCCTTATGTTCCTCTGCAGACGTCAGTAATCACCTCCCTCACTTGCTGTACTCTGTGCCAGGGTCTCAGTGTAGGTTGGTCAGGACTCCGTTCCAGAAGCAGAGCTCAGATGGCTGTGGCAAGGAGAAAAGGCTTTCCTGCTTCTTAACTGGGGCTGAGGATAAGATCAGACCCAAGCAGACATTTTGCTTGAAAAAGCCTCGATGGCACCATGAAGTCTGATTAACAAGACAAGTGCTGCCCACAGTTATAGTCAGGAGGTAATGAAGTCTTCAGCTGGCACAACAGGGACTGCCAGCTGGCATCCAGAGACACTACATGGAGTTTCCAGTTAACCTAGTCACCTCTCTTCTGAGCCTGCTCAGGACAGTGCTAGGCCCCTTTTCCAGAGTCCCTAATGGTTAATTTTAAAAGAGAAGATGACTATATAGATTCCCCCCTTAATTAACAGTTTTATTAAATAACCCATTTCAAATAATAGTTAAATTCTCTAAATTTATATCATTCCATTAAACATAATCTAATCTCATTAACCTTGAAATCCCCAGTCTTAACTACCCAGTTCTATACACAATGGTGATAGCAGCTAAACTAATTAAATGACCTTCAAACTATTCCTCCTTCATGTATTGGCATTATTTATCTTTGCTCATTGCTCTTCTTTCAAGCTATCACAAACATCTACCCATATGAACTCTGTTCCTGCATGTGCTCACTACAAGATATGCCACCACTCTTCCTTGCAAAATTCGCCAGCAATGTCTCCAATTCTACTCCAGCTAATACATTCCATCACCTGCAATGGTTGGTGTGCTTGTTCCTTGGCTTTCGTTCTTGAACACCTGATGCTTCCTTCCCTGTCTTCATTTATTTTGCTGCCACTCATCATCATTTCTCAAATAAGTCCTTAAAGCAATGACCTGAGATTTAATGACACATGGAAAGCTCCTGTTCTGAGCCTCTGGTATCTGTGGCCCTGGTGTACCACAATCCTCAAAAACATATTTCTTAATCTCACTCTTTAAACAAGTTCTTTGATTCTCCTAAAGTTTGACCTCTCCTTAATATCTCAAGATTGAAGACACCATTTTTTCCTAGGCTGATCCGAGTTTAGTTTAAAAACCATCTCCCCAAACATTTTGTTCAATTTGCAAGGAAAGGGAGTGCTTGACATTCTTGCTGTCTGATTTGACAAGGCTGAAGTTATGGTTGAAGAGAAATATAGAGGCTCTTCTTCTATAAGCTATAGAGAGTTTGCAACTTTCCTGACTTTTCCGCAATAATAATTTATAGAATAAGCTGCAGTATTTAGGGCAATGAGAGTGACTACAACAAAGTGGGATGTTATCTGGCCTGCATCTAAACTAATTTGTCTAGATAAGCATGATGATACATAGGCCTGCAAATACTTTTATTTAGTTCTGGTCTTCTATTTTCTGGAAGTGAATGCAGAAGCAGATTTCATTTCCCTGGCAGAGCGTATTGGGCTGAGTATTTTACACTACTGGATAATTAGGGATGTGCTGTGCTTCAGAGAGGAGGCACAGTAAGAAGGTGCTGTCAATAGAGAAGTGTGCAGCCCAATCCAGAGAGCCCACAAATCTGCCTGAGAAGGAAGCACATTTCCAAGCTCAGGAACAGAAAGTGACACTTTTCATAATTTACTTCTTCCACATCCAACACACATCTCTTCAATTTCACCTGTCTCTTAACTGCACCATTGCAGCTGGAGAGCTCCCTTGGACTTGCATAACTTAGAAAAAGACCTGAAGGGGGGAGGAAGGTGACCTATGTTTGCCTGAAATCCTGTCAACTGCAGCCTCGTTTTCCTGGTCAGATTTCCTTGGATTGGAAACTTCAGAGCAAAGATTAGAGATGAAGCCGTTCACAACACTGTTTACAACATAGCTGAATTTGCAGCTTAGCTAACTAAAGGCCCTTTAGAGAACACCACCTACTACATTCAGGTTTAAAAATCAGGTTGAGAATTTTAAATCAGAACTGCTGTACTGGATCAGACCAATGGTTCATCCAGGCCAGCATCCTCTTTCTGGCTGCCAGGGGAAAGACCATGTAGGAACAGGATGTGCCTTACTCTGTTCTTCCCTCCCAGTTCATGGCCCAAGCTGTTCCTCAGTCAAAAGCTGCCTCTAGATCTTAGTGGTCAGTGATTGCCTGCACATCCCTCCTTCAGAAATTTATTTTTCTGATACCTCTTTTTTTTCCTGATACCTTTGATCTCCTCAACATCCTGTGCCAATGAGATCCAGAATTTAATCATACAACTTGCAAAGAAGCACTTATTTTTATTTCTTTTAAACCATTTTCTGATTATTTCATTAGGAACGCTTTTCCTCTAGCAATGTAAAAATAGCATACAGTCTTTTTTATACCTTGTTTTATAAATCCTGAAGATGTTCCTACTCTTTGTCCTCTCTCTCTTCCAAACTGCTAGTCCTAATTTATTTATTATCCCTGTATACAGATGCCATGCTGTGCTGCTGATCATTCCTGACAGAGGATCCTCAAATCTCTCCCAATTCTAAGCAGATACATGGACCATATATTTTTCTGATTAGGGTAGTTAGGAGTCTAGAAGAGGTTACCTAGAGAAGATGTGGAATTTCATGCTTAGAGTCACTTATAACTTGACTGGACAAGACTCTCAGCAACCTTCTCTAGACTCACAGCTATCCCTGCTTTAAACATGAAATTGGTCTAAAGATCCTCTGAAGACCCTTGTACCTAATTTTTGTTGGACTTCATGATTCTATTACTACTAAAACCTTTTTAAATGTTGCAGAGGCAGAAATTGAGGTCATGTTCAAGGTATGGGCTCACAATGATTTTAAACTACTAAAAAGATGTTTCTTGTTTGCTTTCTTGTAATTGTCTAGCATTTGAATTTTCCTCTCTGGCCTTTGACGAGCTCTGTTCCCAAGGATCTGCTTCTGAGTAATGGCAGCTAATTTTGAGTCCATAGTCGTATGTGTATAATTAGGATTGTTGTTTCTCATGTGCATTATTTTGCACTTGTCAACACTGAATTTCATCTGCCATTTTACTGCCCACTCAGCATGGAGGGCTGCTTCTGTGACTCTTCACACTCAGCTTGAGATCTGACTATCCTGAACTGCTCAGTAGCATCTGCAAATAAGGTTTTACAGAAACTGCAGTGAAGATAAATGTCTTCACCATTCTGTTTCTTTAAATATCAGTGAAGGGAGTACTCAGATTTCAAGCTCTGCAAATACTTCATTAATTCAGGAAAGCCTAAGAGTGAAATAAACAAACCTAGGTCCCATTTACATTACAAAGAGCTACTATACTGCAGGAACTGACTACAGCACAGGAGCCCAAAACACAACTATTACAGTTCAGTAAAGGGACACACTGCAGACCCCTCAGTGTGTTTTTGCTGCCCCACATGTTAACATTAGAAGTGGTCATTGCTCTATGTGCAACTCTTGCAATTCTCTGGATCAGAAAAATTGATCAGTTTTTCTCCCTGGTGCCTTAGTTTTAGTAAAATGCCAAATGACATCAGTAGCAAAGGTAAATCAGATTTCTAGAGTGCACACTCGTACCAGTCAAAGGGTTAATAGTAAAAGACGATTTGTTTTGCGAGAATGATTAACCTGACAGCAGTCTCTTTAAAAGAAATCAATGTCTTCATCTGGGCCAGCTAAGGGCTCCTGAGTGGGGAGGCAACCACTCTCCCCTTTACCAGGGATGGAGAGATCTCAAGGGCTCACAGCTCTCCCTTCCCTTTGCACATGACCCAAGACACGCACCCCCCACCCTGCGTTTTGCACTGCAAGGCTTTGGCTGTGCCGACCCCCATCGGTGAGGCAGCTGGTCCAGCCCCACCCTGCAGATCAACAATCTCTTACAGATGGCCTGCTGGCACAGCAAGCTTTCTGCAGAGCCTCACCTGTACTCCCTCTCCCGAAAGAGCTGAACAAGACTGGATCTGCCAGACTCTGTCCCGGATTGTGTGTAGGTTCAGTCCCTCGGCAATCTCCGAAGCAGGGGCAGCAGTCAGCAAATCTTGCTTGTTAGCAAATATGAGCACCGGGACTCCACTAAGCTTTTCTTCATCCAAAAGCTCAGCAAGCTCCTGTATCATTTACAAGAGAGTGGGGTGGGGGGGAAGATGGTGAGAGGGAAGGGAAGAAAACCTTCAACCACCAGTGCTTGTCTCTAATTAGAAATATATTTAGGGCAAATGCTAGAAGAGTGTGTTCCAGTGAAACCTAGAGCTTATTATAAGAGAGCAAAAATGTATACAATCATCTCTGCCCAAGGTTCAAAAGCTATTTCTTCCAATTACAGGTTAGAAAAATCTTCATTTTGGTCTGAAATTAGCAGTTGCCTTAAAGGCTACAACTCTGTGTTTTACTAGTCTCTGATCCCAGGAGACCAAAACTCATGAAACAGCAAAAAAAACCATGTAAATTGCCAGTATGAGGAATCTGTCTTAAGTTATTGCCTGACTGACATTTGTACCTGAGCAACCGTTGACACTGGCCCTGATATTTTTGCTAATCAATCATGAGTTTCAAGGGGTTGTTTGAAGTCTTAATCACTGCAACTTAAACAGGAGAGGACTTCCCCACCCCTACCACCCTCCCATAATGGAAATCTCCCACAGGAAAGTGCTGATGCTTTGGAAGGCATTGGTTAGCTGAAGACAAGCTAGATCAGCCTTAATAGCTGTATTTTAGCTCCATATGCACAGCACACATTGGGGGCATCTTAAAAAATGGGTTTGTTCATTCAAAACCAGTTGACTCAAAAAGATTTTTTGAATAGCTCAAATCTGAATCTGCAGTGGATCAATGGTGGCTGAAATACTTCATGTCTAGGTTGTGCAATGGTCCCATGTGAAACCAGCACTCAGTCTCAAGTCACTTCCCTATGGGAACATACAACAAACTCAGCAGAATGTGAACCTGTAGGGACTGCTGGCATTGCAGACAGATGAGTACAGGAGATTTTTGTGGCCTCCTTATTTAGCTGGAAAGGTCTCATGCATTCAGATAATGTTCTAACATCTTTTATCCACTGAATAGAAACTTCTGGATTAAACAAGTGTACTCAGAGAAATGCTAAACTGCATTGGAAATACAACTCCATCCCCTCAAGAGCAATATTTGGTTTGGAAGCCAGGATGAGAGGATGGAGTTATAAACAGAACTGGATGGGAATTTTTCAACAAAATAGGTCTTTCATCTGACAGAGCTGATTTATTGAAACCAAAAGTGTTCGTGGAAATATGAGGAGGGGTCTAGGCTGACTCTGCCTGACTCAGGCAAGTGATCTAAGCTGCTGCTTCCTTTCCATCTCTTTTGCCCAATGAATATTTAATTACTGATATAAACTGAAATAGCTCCAGCAGGGGAAAGATTCTCTCACCCCTAGAACAACCGACAGTTCTGCTGTTGGGGTGTGTCCATGAGACTTGAGAGGCAAAAGATCAAGTCTCTCCTTCAAATCAGACAGAACAGAAGGCTTTAATCTACATCTTCCATTTCTGTGAAGTAAATCTATTGCCGGCTATTTTGGGATGCCGTCACTTTCTGAATTTTACACAACAAAGTTTAAAAATCCTATTTTTGTTTCAACCTAAAACAAAAAATGTTACAAAATATCATAACTTTGCAAAATGGAAATCTTATTTTCTGGCCAGTATTAGTTAGAAAGTTCTTAGCTTTTTTTTTCAATTACATCCAAAAGATGATCAAGTCAATATGATTTCCATTTCAGCTTTGTAAATAAGAAAATAGGATTCCTCAGGGTTTTGGTTTGGCAAGGTTTAAAGGACTTAGAGAAGTTTGTGCTTTCAGTATTAGGCTCCATTTCCTATTATTGTATAACTTTAATGAACACTGTTCTATTTAAACAGAATTAGGCTACCTATTTTCCTTGTTTCACATCTACCAAAATAATCTGTATTGATGTTGAAAGGCAAGTCTCTTGAAATGCAAATTTTCTTCATAAACAACAAAATCCTCTTCCTAACTTTTGTGAGCAAGGGGCACTCAGAAGCACTGAGTTACTTCAAAGGAAGCTGGGCATAAGTAACTTACCTGACCTGTTTCTTCAAACCTCTTCCTATCTGCACTGTCAATGACATAGATCTGAAAAAAGAAATTACAGGAAAAGTTACTCTTCCCAGAAGACACTCTTCACGGTAGCACGTGATTAAGTGAGCTGAACCTACTAATTAGCTTTTGGGCACAAAGATCATTGCTATTATTTGCAGCAAGTGTTGACAAAACTTCATGATGTTCTGAAAGGAGAGGAACCACCTCTTTTAATACTAGGGGAGTGGACAACCATGTGAGTAGAGTCAGAAAGGAGTTGGCAGCAGTACTGGGCATGCTGTCACCATCTCCATAGCACATATTATCTGAAGAGAACAGGAGACTGCTGGTATTGTTTCAGACTTATTGTTACAAGTCGAAACTGAGCATAGGAGGGCAAAACCTGGGGAGCTAGACATGGCCTTTCATCCCAGCCAAGTGTACAAACACTGGCCTGGTGTGACTGTGCCGTGCTGCCCTCTAGCATCACGTCCTCAATAAGCCACCAAGGCACACAATGGTACTCAGGGGACACATGAATGTGTTGGGGACATTGAGTTTGTCTCCATCAGGCCATCCTACTGCAGCTTCCTGGAGAGGATGGTTGGGTATGAGGGCTGGATTCAGCCTGCAAGACTCCATCTTCAGCTGCCGTCTGAAAAAATGGGGAACCTCAGTACAACATGCAGGCAAGAATAGACTGGTATCCATTTTTCATTGCTTGATACGTGAAGGTTTTTGAAGAAGGATGCTGGGACAGCAGACAGGGACAGGACTGGTAACAAACACTGAGCATTTTGCTTCCAGTCGCTGCCATTCCCCATCAGTAGTGATTGAAGCTGCTAGCATGTCATCTGCATGCTCTTTGGTGGCTTACAGGGAGCAAGTGTCAGCCTGGTTTTCAGGGAATAGATGAGCACAGCACCCTGCCATCAAGATAAATGGCATCCTTGCAGGCAGTCTCAGCACAAGACTCCATGCTTTCAGGATAATTTCGACCAAATAGTAGGGGGAGGGAAGATCTCTAGCAGCAATATCTATTAAACTATAGGCACTCTCTTAATGAGCAGCATTTGAGTTGTTTGAAATGGGACCAAACACGCAGCAGGAGAATCTGTATGCGAGGCCTGAGGAGGTAACCCAGCAACCTCCCAGCCGCTCTGCAGATCACTTGGGGGCTGATGTGCACTGACAGAGGCTGGGGGACACGCGGCAGGGTGGACGCAGCTGTGTGGGGATGCGTCAGCAGAGCACGCACCCGGTGCCACGTGATGGGGAGCAGCCCGTGGGCACGGTGTGACACACAGCCCTCTCCCTGCAATGTGATCTCAAGCACGTGCACCAATACTGGATCAGCTGCACACGTCCTCCCCACCCCTACCAAGCATCCACCCCTATGCATCCATTTGGAATAGGAAATACAGACCAAAAGAAAGGAAGAAGCTGCAGGGCTCGCAGTTCTGCTCTGGGGTGAGACTGGACTGTCATCTGTGCTCCCTCGGGACAACTCTGGGGAAGTCCACAACACATGAATGCAATGCTCAAGTGTTGCTTGTGAACTGAAAGGTGGCACCTTCCATATTACGGTGCTTCTCTAACTGGCAAGGAATAGCTCTGGGTCCCATCCAGCCAGGCTTTCTCCTGCACCGCTTATTCCCCACTAGGGAGCTGTTTTGCAAGATGAGAACTAGAGACAACAGTGCTTGGGGCAAAAGCCACAAAAGCACAGCACAGAGAAAGTAAAGTATGTGCCGAGTGCCTGCTTCCAAACCAGCAAGCACTGTGCCAAATAGCTGCAGGTGCCTGTCTGAATATGCAATCAGCCAGATATCCACACCTTATTTGCCTGCATTAAGCTTCCAAATATCACAGGTGTGTGATGCAAGACCAAGCTCTCATTCAAAGGCACCTGCATGGATTTGAATTTGTAATTACTTCCTGCTTTTTAATACTCTTTAGAGGGTCCTTTCTGTTTTATGCAATACAGTTTAGGAGAAGAGAGAAGCAGGGGGTCCTGGGAACTGTAGTGTATCTCATGTCCAACCTCCTTTTATGGCCAAGGCCACACAAGAGCCTGTTTTTGGCTGTGGTGCTTCGTTAACAGAGTTTGCAAATTTGAACACCATATTGGAGAATGGAGATTTGAGAAAGAAATTCCTGTAAAGGTGGGTACCTCCTTTGAGAAACAAGCCAAAACACAACCTGGAATAAATGGGTTGGGCAGAAATTGCAAGTGATAGGACTAGATTAAGAAATAGCATGAGGGCTAAGTTGGCTCAATTTATAAATGCACAATCTGCACCAGGTTTGTCAGAGGGTAAAATTACTGGCTAAAACAGGGGTGGGGACTGGCAGAAGACAGAGCGAGCCATCAGCATATACGTGATCCCAGTTTTGGTGTGTATGGAAATAGCAAAGCACTGCCCCAACATGCCAACATCTCCCACTTTGGGACTGGGTGTCAGCATGAAGTGCAGCTAGGGGAACTCAAGTCCATCTGTGCAGAAGCTATTTCTCTGAATTCACACTGTTGCTTCCCCCAGACTGATTCTGCTTCTATCCACCCATTTTCTTACTCACATGAAAATAAGGGGTTTCTCTGTACATTGCTTTAACTGGGGTGAGAGAGGGGCGGGAAAACAACTGCTTTCATCTCCTTCAGTCCTCAAATTCATCTTTATTACTGCACCTCCCATGCAGCACACACTGGGAAAGGTGGAAGCTTACAGGCCAATGTAGCTCATTGTCTTTGCCAGCAGAGCCTTCCAGATATTGTTTTGTGGTTGCACAGCCTCTGCATCCTGAGCACCTGCCACAGCAGGCAGAGATCCCAACGCTGCTGCTTTGCAGGGCTGACCTTGATCTGCACACTTACCGCCTCCCCACCACACACAGCGCCAGAGCCTGGGCTCAGTGGGCACAGTCACCTCACAGTCACACCATGTCTCTGTCCTCAACAGCCACAGAGGAGCACAGTGTGTGTCCTGCTTGTTTCTCAAACCCAGATCTTACCCCATGGAAAATCTCACAGCTCCTTTCTGCAAAAGCAATCCACTGGGTTTATGCAGTGGTGGCTGTCCTCGAACTTTAGATTCCAAATAAACGGTCAAAAATGAAGATTGGCAAAAGAGAGTATCAAGGGTTTATTAGTCACATTTAAATAACAGCTTCATTTGGACAATGTTTTCTAAGCCTGCAGGCACAGCCAGGCCTTTCAGGACTGGACACGAGCCTTGGTGAACAATGCTATTCCTGCTTGCACTGATCCTTCCGTGCAAGTGCACTGAAACTCCTGACACGTTACTGAGTATGTGTGTGACAGGAGGGAGGAATGGCGTCTTTCTAAGAGAGCTTCCCACTTTCCCATGGGAGCCTGCAGACCTTGGCTTTTCTCTGTTCCCACAGGCAATATTGCTTGGGGCAGAGAGAGGCCTGAAGCCCCCAGTCTGCCTTCATCCTGGCATATGTGGCTGCATGCTAGAGGTGATCTTTGAAACTAACCAAGGCAGCACCTGGAGGGTCCCAGGGCAATATGCTCTGGCATAGAAAAACAAAGGTCTTGCACTGTAAATATAATTGTGGTCATCTGTAGCTAATTGTAAGGTAATTACAGCTCAGTTGTCAAAACCATTAAAAGACAGTCTTATGATTAAAGGAGCAAAAGAAAAGACAATGGGTCTTTCTGTGTCCCTCAGTCAGAAGCTTTCCTATCTGATGCCAGACAGAGCATTTAATTCTTATGCGTCAGTTTCCTCACCTATAAAACAAGGGCACCATACTGACCTACCTCTACACATGATGCTTAAGTCACTAATGCCCATGACGGGCCTTCAGACTCTCCAGTGAAAGGAGCTATAGATGGGTAAAGTACATGTTATTAATGTTCTTTCATTTGAAAGAGACTGAGATGAGAGGAAAGGAACTGGCTATAAACAGCACCATCCTGTGAAAGTAAAAACATGCAACTGAATGATTTCTGCAAACATAACTGTATTTTTCTTACTGCACTCAACCAATCTTGCCATTTAGCTCAGAATAACTCCTGTTACAATGGCAATGGTGTTGCTGAGGGCTGGGACATTACATTACTTGTTTCTGAATTTCTGGCTGAAACCTTGGAAAGCCATTGCATGAACACAGCATTCAGCTGCAGCCAATACTCACAAGGATATCAGTGTTTTCAAAATAGTTCCTCCAGTATGGTCTGATCTTCCTCTGTCCACCTATGTCCCATACATTCAGTTTGAAGCCTTGAGACTGTACACTTTTGATGTTGAAGCCCTGGAAAGAGCAGAAACAAAGCCACATAGAGCATAAACCTGAATGGCTGGAGCATGTTCGTAGCCAGACATTAACACCTTATATATCCCATGTCTGCAATGTGCAGTGAGATGGGGTGGGCAGCCACAAAGATGGATCAGCTGTGGGAGAGGTCCCAGCATAAGCAGCCGCTAAACCATCAGTTTGTCAATGTTCTTGGGTCAAGGGTTGATGCTGTCACAGCTATGGAGACATATGATGCAGTTGGTACCCTGAGAGGGCTCAGCAGGGTGGGTGCAGGAAGAGGTGGGAGAGCTGCAGATAAGGAGAAAACAAGGGCACTGTGAGAAGCAGGATTGAGCTTGTGAAAGCTGAGTAGACAGTCAGAACTAATATGAAGCAAGAGGTCTCAGCTCAATTCGACACGACACAGCTAATGCTGGGCTTAAAAGAGCAACAGCTGCACGTCTGAAGGGTCCATTTCATCAATTAGGGCACCAACTGAAAGTGCATTCAAGTAGAAAAACAGGATGTGGCGTGGGCTGGCAGTGTGCTGCCACACCACCCAGGGACCAAGGCTTGGAATTAGGGTGCCAGAGCTGGGAGCTCTGGGAGGCAGCTACAGGGTGGGGGGAAGCATCTCCCATAGCTCTCTAGCAACCTCCTCTGGAGCAATGCTGCAGTGCTGCTGACGGGAGCCATCACTCTCCTCCATCCCCAAAGCTCAACAAAAGGGCATGAGAGACATTAGGGAGGAGCACTGGTATATGCAGAACCCTTGGAGCTGGTTGGGTGAAAGATGCAAAGAGACAAGGGTTTGTCCAGTGCTGCAGCATCCACTCTACATGTCCCCTGTTTGGCAAGGACAACAGGAACAAAGTCACATCCATGCAACCCTAGCATGACTCAAAAGCCTTTTGCAGAACTCCACAGCACTCATCCACTTTTGCACTACCTGACCGATCTGGTCTGAAGCTCTCTGGCTCCTTCAGCAAGCCTCGTCTTAGGCAGAAAAGATACAAACTTAATGGTGCACCAGGCTCCAGTTGCTCCCCCTTTTACTGAAAGACTGATGAATCATTAATGCTTTGTGTAAGGTGGCAGGTGGGACCACAGGAACTCCCTCAAGAAGGAAAGGCTTTCCTCACCTGTGTTGGGGTGATGTGGCTGATGTCCTCTGATGCCAGCTGTTTCAGGAGTGTGGTCTTGCCTGCATTATCCAGTCCCAAGAGGAGGATTCTCACCTCCTGGTCTGGGGTGCTTTTTAGTTTGCGTAGGATTGACAGTAAACCCTAAACGCACAAGAAAGACCACAGCTGTTATTTCCTCAACTCTCGCCCTCCATTGTCATGCCCTCCTCCCTCGAAAAAGATTCTGTCTGATAGTGAGTCCCAAGACACCCTGAATATCTTTCTGCAGTCCCTATTCCCATTTCGTTTCTTACTCCTCCCTTTGCCCCTATTTTCTTCCACCTCAGAATATCAACAAGGTCTCAGACAGCACAAATGTCATGCAGTGGGGTGCACTGCTGGCTGCACTGCTCTTGTCACACAGCTGTTTGGCATTCCCTGTACCAGGGAGACAGTGTCTACGTGCAGAAGCTGCAGACCAAGTCTTTGCAAGCTCTTCATTACCTTTATCAGAGGGAAAACTCCATTAATTTGATCTGCCTCCTACATAACTGCAGGTTTCTATGTACCTGACATTGGTTCTTCTCATAGTAACTCCCTGGTCATCTCAAACCCCATTTATCTGTCTAAAACACGCTGAACCCATGGGGCACGTGCAGTTCTGATTCTCAGGATGTAGCACTTAACAACTGTCTCAGATCACCACACATCCTCGCTAAGAAAAGCACAGTGGATTCCAGTCATTAGCCAGGCTCAGCTCTCTGAGCTGACAGTATCACTCAGGATTAGGAAACAGAATATGCAGGTCAGCTCATTTACAACCATGCACCTTACAGCAGCACACCCAAGCTTTTGTCAGTGCCACCAGTCAGAGACCAGCACCTCTCTAAAATGGCTGAAAAAATATTCTGGATCCTGGCACATAACCAAGAGATCCAAATCACCCCACTTCCACCTGCCTCTCACTGCCCAGCCTACCCAGAGGAGAGGGATAGTTCCAGCCAAGCGGACAGGAACAGGCTGTGACACCAAGAACGCGTGGGTGTCTCTTTTGGGCACACTGCCACGCTGCTCTGCAGCCCCTGCATGTCAGGGACCCCTCCTCAGAGCCCAAGCAGCACACATCACACTGAGATCCTGCCTGGAGACATAGGTGCTCTTGCTACTAATTCATCTGAGAAAATCCAGGAAAAAAATACACCTACAGCCCATTCTGAAGCCCTCAGCGTTCCTGTTCTGTCTCTCCCAGATAATTCCCTTGTTGAAGCCCACTAACACCAACAGCCAGGAAGAAAGTTCAAATATCAGCAGAAACCTAAGCCCATGGGGCCCATATCTCAAGCCTTTTTGTTCTCCCAATAGCAAAATGGAGACAATGCTTCTTGTCGACCTGCAAGGGTGTAATCAGTTAAATGTCTTGAAGTGCTTTGTTGCTATGAGGAACTAAACCCTCTAAATATTCCTGCTGAGAGCCAAGGACTATTTGAGCCTTGAAGGTTGCTCCCGATCCCCTCCAGATCACAGCAATCAGAAACTTGTCCTCAAGATAAAGAGCTGCACGTCGCAGTACAACTGTCACCGCTGCAACGCATCCCCCGTCTCCAGCAGTGTCCTTCTGCCCACTCGGGGAGAGCCCAGCCTCCGCCATTCAGCAAATGCTGCTTCCAACTGCTCACCTCACTCCCAGGTGGGAGTGCTTTGGAAAGGACTCAGCACTACAGGTTGTGATGCTAAAGCTTTTAGTAATGCTCAGAGATTCAAATGCATGTGACATCTGATCCATCTCTGTGAGCATTTTCCATTTCAGAGTAATTTATTTGGTTTCTGTTAAATTATCAGCTACAGCTCAAAATACATGTGTAGTGTGTAAGAAACAGGGAGGAGAGAAGGAACTTAGTAAAACTGGGTTCTAAAGGTATCTGTAGAAAGCTGCAGGATTGCCACTGTTGCTGTGCTTTTAAAAAGCACTGTGGAAAGCTGAGGTTCAGAAATTCAGAGCTTGTGCAAGCAATAGCAAAACTGCAGTCTTACTGCCCAATAAGCAGGCTCAAGATATCTCCTATTTCATAGGTGACGGGCAGGTAAAAAACTGGGAATCCGGGCCCTGTTCAAGAGCTGTGAATTGGAAATGGGGTCTGCTTGGTAGAGTGCCATGCCTGCTCGGTACAGGCAGAGGCACAGGCACAGTAAATCCCCAAACAGCCTTTAGTTGAAGTGTACAGGTCTGTTACACCACATGCTGGGCCCTTAGGGCCAGATGTTCACAGCTGGCTCTCACCCATGGGCCCATGGCTAATGAATTTGAAGGGCTGTGTTCAGTGCAGCCAGTCACTGCAAGCCCTGCCAGCCCAACAGCTCATCTCCCTGGCCGCAGTGCCCAACCCATGTTCTGCCCTGATGATGGTCTGTACTTCCACACGTCCGAGGCAAGAGAAAAGGAACAGCAACAAAAATACCTCTACTGGTTACTTGTTTATATGCATGTCCTAAGTGCCCTTGACATCATTAAAAAGCACAAGTTAACTGCATGACTAGCAACACATTTTCTTTTCACCTGCCGTCAAATTTACAGTCGTGTTTGTTGGCTTGTAAATCCGTGGATTTCAGCTCAGTGTGGACAGACTCCACAGGAGCAGGAACTCTAAAATTCACACATTCTCCTTCCCTTCTAGGGTAACACTGAATTTCCCATTCTTATAGACCCGACCCAAAGCCAATGTACATCAGCCAAAGCACTACTGCCGACTTTGGAGAGCTCTGAATCAGGCCCTATTATTTTAGTTTATTGCTCACAGTTAAAAAAAGAAGCTGTTGAAATGCTAATCCTATTCACAGCTCCACTTGCTAAGAGCAGAGCAGTGTATCCCAGAGCAGATCAGGATTAGGTGCCTTTATATTTCAGAATTCAACTCCAAAATACTGAGCGCAAAGAAATGTATTACAAAGTATTTCTTATCTACCACGGAGCAATTCTCATGGGTCGGGAAGAGGAACAGTTGTAAATGTTAATAGAGCTTCTCCCATTGTAGATGGATGCTATTTCTGGGCTAGTATGACAGCCTATGAGAAAACGATCAGCATCGTTCCATATTCTACTCAAGTGACACTGCTGCATGGCTGATCACAGGATTATCGCGGGTAGCCAATAGAAGAGAAGATATATATAGAAATAAAAGTATTCTCTAAGGTATAAAGTAAGCTGATTTAAAAGGCTGGAAGACAAGCAAGCCAACATAGAGAAGTGGACTTTATTTCAGTAGCTGCCGGCATAGGTTACATGGTCAGTATATACAACTTAAATCAAGAGCCAAATAATAGTATTGGTTCCTGTGACTGTTACTATTTTGTAAACAGTATTTAAAATGTGAATCCAGGATTCTCCCTGTAGTTAGCAAAGATTTAAAACTAAGGAAAGCCATGCCTAGATTGGTTTCTCATTTTTTTCTTTTTAATTTTTTTAACTGGCCTTATGAGAACACTGGCTAGAAAGACAGAAGGCATTTCCTGACAGCTTAGTAGACTGGAAAAAATAACTCAGCAGAGTTCCCTGCTGCATGCCACCACTATGTGGGACAAGCAGCCCCTGTTATACACACACACTGATGGACAAGCACTCCTCTGCTGGCAAACACAATGCTGAAACTAACAGACTAAGGACAGTCAGAAAGCAATGCCTTCGTATTGATGGGAGATGTCAGGTAGAAAGCCATGAAATGGGAAGATCTGGTGCAAAGGGGATGCACAGAAGCAACAGAAGGAACAGATTTTTGAAGCAGGGCAGGTAACAAATGTCTCATGCTGGGACTTAGCCAGTAGCAAGAAGGGAGGATTCCCAGGATGCCTGCATGGCAGCCACGCCAGGGGCATTCGCTCACTGGAGTGGTCCAGGGTGAGAAGCAGGACAAGTCTTGAGCAGGCCAGGGTAGACATGAGCTGGCTGAGGAGCCGCAGAGACACCTCACAGGAGTGTAAGGGCAACGTATCAGCTGCACAAAACTAGGCAGACTGCGGCATCTGTAACAGAGAAGGGAACTGCAGATGCTGCTCAGATAATGAACAGCACAGCATGGCAGCATGTGCAGCCTTTGGAGAAGGGCAGCCAGAGAGAGCAACCTCAAGGCTGGGCACAGTCAGCCAGCAACGATTTCTTGGTCACCTCTGGGTTAAGCAAACTATGTCTTATATCAGATTGGCTTGTTTAAAAACATCTTTGTCCTTGGTGGAGAGGGTTTTCTTTACAAGCACCACGAGGAGACAGACTGATGGGGTCAGCACGAGGAGACTGTATTTTCCAGACAGTGAGCGGGGACATAGAATAAGAAAAGGAGACTCCTGACAATTACTCTGAAATCAGAGTGGGGCATTAAATTTGGAGATGCAGCTAAATGGGTAAGAGCACTCATAAACACATCGAGCATGAAAGAAAAGCTAACCATCTTATTAGCATCCTTCAGAAAACAGGGATGTGTGGTTTTATGAAAGTATATTATTGCTAGGTTTAAAATACCTACCAAATTATCAAAGGACTTTCAATTATAGCTGCATGCAGTAATCCTATTCTCTCTCTCAAAAAAAAAAAATCCTACATATATAAAAATACAGTGACATTTATAGTCCTAGCTAAGGGTTTTGTGGGTTTATTCAGTTTTAAATCCATACTGTATATGGGTCTCTTGAACTAGTTGATGCATGTAACTACATCCTGTACCACAGAAGCCACTGAAAGGAAGATTCACTTTACAGGCCAAAGCAAAAATTGTTTTGGGACAAACAGAGCATTGAGATAATCTGTTTAAGTATTGTATCAGATTGGCAGTATAAAACCATAATGAAAGAACAATTTTCCCTTGTACTGAGGGCTGGATACATGGGGCATGGATAAAAAGCGTGGCCTGCAAGCTGCTGCAAAGCACAGTTGATTCTTATTAGGAAAGAGAAGTAAATGTATTCTGTTTGACTTTATTAGCCACAAAGCTCAGATAATGAATTTAAAATAAAACCACCCTCAGTCACCACCAATTGCTTATCTACTAGATGTGGATATTTAGGTAGAATCAATTCACTTCACCAAGATGCAATACAGCCACAAAGCTCAGCAGCTCAGCCTGCCATTACGACCGCATCTCCCCCATCTCTACACCCCTGCAGAGATGCCCTCTTCC